TTTATTATACTGTGAAGTATTTCGAGTCAGGGGTCATCTGATCTTTTTTTAAAAATCTTTAATCCTCGCAAAAACTCGAGGGCCTGTGGTTTAAACATCAGCTAGATCTTTGGACGTAATCTTTCACATCCTGACAGAATGAAACGGTCACATAGGAGTGGTAATGTCCGGTCTTTACCAAGATGCCCAACGTCATCATGTAAACATCACAATGCAGGTATAAGGCAATACCAGCTGTTGTCTCCCTTGTCCATCCAGAATAACCTTTCTGTACAGAACTCCGCTCTGAAATGTAACACTGTCAAAGTGCCGATACAAGGCAGTATGAGTTTGACATGGTTGATAACCATGCGTCGCGATTTCTTCCTTGCTTTCACCAGTGCTCTCCATGATCTCAGAATGTCATCAGAAGACTGAGCCATTGTCCAGTCTCGCTGTGTCATTGATGTAAGATGCTGTCAAGGTGGATCCAGACTTGTGACCTCTTGTGATATGGAAGAGCACAATGACTCTATCACTGGGTGATCTTGCAGAGCATTGCATACTGTTTTTATGTAATGCTGACATTTTGGATTGTTGATTATTTCTCTGTTCTGATAATCTGGAGAGTCCATCTTTATCTGCAATATATAGACCTGTAGCCAATTTTAAAAAGTATGCACCAAGGGCTGCCAGCCATCGGTGTCCTGTGGCGTCAGGTGTGTACATAAGTTAGAAGGTTGTTGTCTGTGTAGACAGTAAAACTGCTAGAATACAGATGATCATGTAACGTTTTAGTCACTGCCTACTTGAGTGCTAGAAACGTAGGCGATGAGCTGAATGGTTTACCTCAGACTTGTTAAGTCCTTTACTTGCATAGCTGTTGACGCTTTTAACTGCTTCTTGTTCTCGGTACAGGACTGCGCCAAGGCCGCAGGTACTGGCCACAGGCCCCCGCGTCTTTGCGAGGATTAATGATTAAAAATAATATTGTTTTTGAGACTCAATCGATTAAAACTAAATATAAACGTAATCATGGATGATTGGCCTTTCGAACACCATGGCTTGCTTCGACCACACCCACTTTTTGTGCGGATATATCGTCATCCATTTGTGTCAAGATCGTTTAGTTGAGGTTTTCAATCGACTTGCAGAAATAACAATAAAGAATTGGTAGGTGTCATGAGTGGTGCTTGATAGGCCAACCATCCATGGTTATGTTTTCAGTACGTTTTAATCGATTGCATGCGATTCGGGTAGGGTGCACTGAAGTGTCCGGCCTTGTCATAATGTATTATACTCTGAATCATTTCGAGTCGGGGGGTCATCTCAAATGTTTTGATATATTTTATAAAATCTTTAATCCTCGCAAAGACACGAGATCCTCCTGTACTGGCAAAGGCCGTGAAGTAAGAAGATCCTCGAGATGACAGAAATTTAATTGTTCAGATGGTCCCCAAAGAAAGGTGCTTATCAGCTTCTTGGTGCCTCATCTCCATGTGGGTATTGCGAGGGTGTACTGTTGTCAGTATGTGAAATATCCCGCTGCTTCCTCAGCTCAGCAACTTCAGTTTTTGGACCAATGACTCCAGATTTGTCACGAATGCAAAGTGCATTATGGTTTTATATACTCGTGGTATAATAACAATTATAATACAGTCTTGTCGGGACAGAACAGCGGATAGTTACACCAGATGCGTAGGTCCTGGGTGTATAATCAATCCTGTCGTTATTTTCCTGAAACACATGAGCTTAACACTCCTCACGTACTCACTCACTCCGCCGCCATATAACCAGAATATAGCTAGGGTGTGGCGTTAAGCAACAAATCAACCACTCACTCACACATTCACACACTCACTCACTCCATCGTCATATAGCCAGAATATAGCTGGGGTGTGGCGATAAACAACAAAGCGACCACTCACTCACCACTCACACACTCACTCACTCACTCCATCGTCATATAGCAAGAATATAGCTGGGGTGTGGCGATAAACAGCAAAACAACCACTCACTCACACACACTCACACACTCATCTCATATAGCCAGAAAATAGCTTTGATGTGGCTCACTCACTCACTCCATCGTCAAAAGCCGGAATATAGCTGGGGTGTGGCGTTAAACAACAAAACAACCACTCACTCACACATTCACACACTCACTCACTCCATCGTCTTATAGCCAGAATATAGCTGGGGTGTGGCGTTAAACAACAAAACAACCACTCACTCACTCATTCACTCACTCACACACTCACTCCACCGTGACATAGCTAGAATATAGCTGGGGTATGGCGTCAAACAACAAAACAACAACTCACTCACACATTCACACACTCACTGTCTCCATCGTCTTATAGCCAGAATATAGCTGGGGTGTGGCGTTAAACAACAAAACAACCACTCACTCACTCACACATTCACACACTCACTCACTCCATCGCCATATAGCCAGAATATGGCTGGGGTGTGGCGATAAACAACAAAGCAACCACTCACTCACACACTCACTCACTCACTCACTCCATCGTCATATAGCCAGAATATAGCTGGGGTGTGGCGTTAAACAACAAAACCACTCACTCACACACTCATTCACTCCACCGTGACATAGCTAGAATATAGCTGGATTGTGGCGTCAAACAACAAAACAACCACTCACTCACACACTCACTCACTCACTCCACCCTGACATAGTTAGAACCATCGACCCTAGTATAGAGATCTCTCTTCAGTTGTTGGTGATCTATAGCCTATTTTTATATTGTGTTGTCCCCTATAGTTCAAATGTTTTTGATTCAATTACTAGTTTTACATATATATCTGTGATACTCTAGTTGCTTTACTGTCCTTTGTCGGCAGGTTTTTACAATATCTATATATATTCTATTTCAATGTCAAATGTTCTCGTCACGATATGGCTGAAATATTGCCGATGTGACGTTAACTCACTCACTCACTCACTCATATAGCTAGAATGTAGCTGGAGTGTGGCGTTAAACAACAAAACAACCACCCACACGAATGTCAAGGGCGTTTAGATAGCTTAGTGGGTAATGCGTTCGTTCGTCAGTTGATTCCGTTCGTGGGTACAAAGTTTGAAGACAGCCTCTGGTGTCCCCTAGTGATGTTGCTGGAATATTGCTGAAAGCAGCGTAAAGTAATACTCCCTCACTCACGAACCCAATTTTGTGAAACGTCACCAACCACCCCGTTTCCGGCCGTAGTTTTTCGGCTTATTCCAGAACAGGACGAAATGTCATGAAGATAACCTCGGCAGACCATTGGTCACCTCTCTCCCCTTTCTGCCATCTCCAGTAAGACGCGTCCCCCAATCGATGAAGGGTATATGCGAAAGAAAGACAAACCAATCAGAATCCGTGAAGGTACTTTGATACATATCATTAAATTGGTTATGGCATTATGTGATTGTTTAAAAGAATGGTCAGAAGCTGTCCGCGATTCAAATAAGTATTTTTTTGCACAAAACGATTCTCCCGTTTCCAAATGGGTTTGCCTCGGGAGATTTTACGTGTGCTTTCCGATGTTATTAGGTGATGTAAATAGTTAACAGCTACGAGTTGCGAAACAATATACAACTAATAAATTAAAACACTGTGCTTCACACTGGGATATTTCACTATGACGTTTCTCAGGTCCTTCATATTTACTCAGCGTATCCATTTTAAATTCCACCAAAGGGTATGGCAGCACGGTTGCTACAAGTTCAGACACCGCTACACTAAATCACAAATGGACTCTCAAGATATTCTTCAGTTATTATTCTAGATATTGTTAAAAGTCATTTTGTGTATCTTTTGGGGTTACTAATTACAGCTGAAATAAAATCTTACTTTGACTGCCTATCAAGGAAGAAGTAGAAACCATTTGCAATTCTTATCACGTATCAAGAAATATACATTTGGAAATATAAGTTGAACAGCTGGTCAGTACACATGATAATGTTTTCAAGTAAAATCATCATCTTTCATTATTATTGTTTAAAACAAATTAAAATAATTTAAAAATTAACAAAAGTGTGCTTCAGCAATGCAAAGTACTATTTGAATTAAACAAAAAGGAGTTCTCGTTCTTGTTTAAAGTCGTTCTGAGGTTTATACGCCAATATGAAATCATTCCAGAGGGGCACGAGTCACTGTTCGGCTTGTCCCGGAATAACACGAGTGGTTCACGAATGATGAAATCCTTCCAGAGGGGCACGAGTCGCAATTCGGCTTTTCCAAGAATAACACGAGTGGTTCACAAATGCCTGCCACAAGGTCACAATACTTCCAACGGCAAAGGCACACGGGAAATCATTTGTCAGTTAGGGAGTATAAGCCTGTTTGTAAAATCCAGCACAACCCTACACGAATAGGTGAATAATTGTCCCGCTTCGTGGCTTAGATTAAATAACAGTTCGACCACGAAAGGCACTATGGAAGCCGATTCATTTTGACAAAAACTAACCACAGTTGTCGCCCTATCCAGAGTTGCTTCCCTTATAGCTAATACGCTGCTGAATGTATATTTTACAGCTGCTTCCAAGTGAAATGTCAGGTTAGGTTAGCGGTAAAGGCGTTCGCACGTCAGTTGATTTTATACATGGGTCCAATGTTTGAAGCATCTCTGGTGTCCTTCACTGATATTGCTTGAATATTGTCCCAAGCGGCGTAAAACAATACTTATTCACCCACACGTCACACAAAATATCACCACTAATTCGGCTTATTCAAATCTTAAATTGTAATTCGCAAATTCTTCATCACAGCCGAAAATAGTTTACTGAGAAAGACAGGGACTCGGGTATCTTGAAATAGATGTGTTTGCAGAACACCACTGTCTCGGTTTGAGACAAATTACTCTAGTCTTTAAGTGACAGAAATATTCTGTATTTATCAACCCCATTCACTCCAACCCGGAATTATTTAACTGCTCTCCTTTATGAGAAACATTGGACCCTGGACATATATTTCCCATGAAATTTACATTTTGGTAAATCAAAAAAAGCAAAAAACTGTGGTTAAAATATTTATTTCACCAATAATATCTTATCTACACATAAAAATTAAGAGGAAGGATGAAACATGGCACCTACATACATTATGTTTCATTTGGAAATAGAGTAAAGCGAGTATCTCATGCATATTCTGAGAGCTGGAATGATGGGAAACAAAGATTTGAAGTGAAATATGATCAATCTATCGCCGTGGACACTAAACACTGTTGTGTCGAACTTAACGGGAGCTAGCTAGATACTTCGATTTATCCGTTGGTAAACGCAACCAAAAATGACGATAACCAAATAATAATGATTAAACAAAACGTAAAGGGGGAACAAACCTTTAATTCTAGATAACCTTTACTTCGAGATAACCTTTACCTCGAGATAACTTTTACTTCGAGATAACCTTGACTTCGAGATAACCTTACGTTCGACACAACAGTTTTTGACTGCATGTCGCAAAAGAACGTCCCGTTAGAAATAAATGATCAATTACTTGTGAATTGTATTTATAAAGCCTATGTGGACATCATCATACAGCCCACATGAAATTTTGGACAAAACCACACGGTTCTTCTCATAATATTGGGCGGTGGGGTATCCCAGTGGCTAAAGCATTTGCTCGTTACCCGAACACCTGAGTTCGAATTCCTACATAGGAGAGTGTGTGCAGCCAATGACATTGCTGGAACATTGCTAAGAGCGGTGTAAAACAATACATCCTCACTCACTCAAACAGGGCTATTTCTTGTCCCACCTCATGCTATATAGTATATGTCTGTCTGTTAACCTCTGACCGTATAGGGCAATTCATTCATGATGAAAAGTATCATGTATTTGCTAATTTGTAGCCGTTTGTTATAAACACATATACTTTAACGGGCACCAACCATTTGTATTATCTGTGTGGATTTCATAAGAGATGGATATACAGTGTCATAGGGCGAGAGGTACTTTCATGTGTAAGACACACATTCTTCACACAAAACGTTCACCAGCTTTTCGACTTGGGTAAAAGTACAGGCTGGACTAACATAAGCCGGCGGATCGTCCATTTTAGGGGGCGTGGCTGTGTCTTTCACATTTAAACAGACATTATTACATCTATTTACATATTTCAAGTGTAAATATCTAAATATATATCTTAATTTAATGTGGAAAGGAACGTGTTAAAATACAGTCAAGTGTTCAACATAGATTTGCACTTACAAACAATAACTAAAAAACAACAACCGAAAAACCAGACGTGATGGTTATATGCCGACTGAAAGTTGTGTTGAGTATAGGAGATACACTGTTCTATATCAGCATGATCACATTCATATGATAACCTCATCTACCTGATAAAAATCATAAGAACTAGTATTTTGCCACCATGAATATCACCATGACTACAGATAATGAAGGATCAGAAGAACAATCCTTGTCCTGAAATCAGTTTTCTTGTTTCTGATGATGTAAATTTGGATGTAAATGTCAAATATCCTTCTGAACGTAACAATTCAGAGCACACATAGTCACTAGATATCTCGTTGCTGTAGAAACGTATTGAGTCCAGATCAGACACCAGGCCTTCTAAATCCGTCTTTTCTTGCTAGGGAGATGTTGCAGCTGTTGTTTCCGTTTCCTGCTTGTGCCACAGCTTCTCCCAGGCGACATCTCAGACTCGTCACTATCAACCTGAGGCCGGAGAAAATGATACATAATTTAACTCTCTAAGGCAAAATTCAGTCCGGAATACAGCCATTTTGCTAACTTTCGTATTGTGACAGCGTAGGGATCTGTTTTAGTGAACAATTATATATGTCTGTTATTATTAATATTTCGCATCTTATGTCCTTCCATACTCACCTGGTTGAGGCTGTTTCCGAGAGACCTTGGTGTTTGTCCTGTTCCAGCTTTTGTCGCACATGTCTGCGTGTCTGTCTCGATTGTTGCGATATAGGTCTGTGTGTCTCCCTCTGCTGTTGTCACGTGTGTCTGTGTGTCTCCCTCTGCTGTTACCACACATGTCTGCGTGTCTGTGTCGGTTGTTGCGATATAGGTCTGTGTGTCTCCCTCTGCTGTTACCACACATGTCTGCGTGTCTGTGTCGGTTGTTGCGATATAGGTCTGTGTGTCTCCCTCTGCTGTTGTCACACATGTCTGTGTGCGTGTTTCGGCTGTTTCCAGAAACGTCTGTGTGCTGATCTCAGCTGTTGTCACACACGTCTGTGTTTCAGCGGCTGTCGTCACACCCGCATGTGCGTCAGTTTCTCTCGTCACACAATCCTGTGTGTCAGTTTCAACTGTTGTCACACAAGCATGTGTGTCAGTTTCTGTTGTTTCAGAAGTGTTTGTGTCTGTCTCAGGTGTTGCCTCACAAGCCTCCATTCCAAATGTTTCATACACACCTTCACATACTGTATCCACCTGGTTGTTGTCAGGGGATACCTTCAGTAGGGGTTCAGATGCATTTGTGCTATCGCCTTCACAGCCACCAGCACATGCTGCAGGAACAGCGCTCTGTGTCTCATCACAAGGAGAGTAATCAGCATTTGGTGCGTGTCTGTGTGATGTATTTACATCATCAACGTTCAAGACACGGGATGGCCCAGATTCCAAGTCTGGCAGTATATCCTGATCGGATGTACTTGTAGGGCGGGAGACATCATCAGTCACGTCAAAGGTGACTGTGGGGGATGTAGGTGCATCACCAACGTACAAGGGTAGCAAGGGTTTAATATCTGCCGGTAAAGCCTCATCAGATGTATCTGCAGGGACAGTGATGTCACGGGTGTTTATGAGTAGAAATTGTTTAATATCTGCCAGTAAAGCCTCATCAGATGTATCTGCAGGGACAGTGATGTCACGGGTGTTTATGAGTGGTGTATTTACATTTACAGATGCATCTGTGTTTGGATGAGAGGCTTCAACATCATCAGCTCTGTCAAATGAATCACTGTCAGATGGCCACACAGATAGGATGGCTACACAGATGTCAGGTGGGATGTTGACATCCCTTTGTTCTTCATGACTCGAATTAAACTGAATGCTAGTTTCACCAACGGCATTATTTTCTGGCGGGATATAACAATCAGCTTGGAAAGTATGTGAAACGTCAGTTTCTGGCGTACACGGCGTGGCTGCCATGATGTTTTCCTGATTATCATCCGACGTCCTACATGCAAAGCCACTCCCTGTACTTCCCTCTACCCTTCTGGCTTCGTCCTGCAGTGTGTCCGTGGTGGCAGACTGTGTACATACTCTGTTTGTCAGGCCCCGGTTGTCCCCTTCGTGCCTCTGTGTGTCCATGCTGGTTGATAGTGGACTCGGACTGACAGGACAGTCGGTGCTGGACTCATTTTGTCGTAATGTGGTTCCCTCACCTTCACTGTCGTTCAGACACTGTGGGTCTGCTAATTGTTGAAACTCGTTGACATTGGAAACTGAAAGTGGTCTTGCAGGGGGATTATGTATCATTCGATTAGAATTTGAAATTTCCTCCAACGCTAATTGTATCGAGAGACGAATTTTCTCTTTGAGTGAGGTTGTGATGTCTGGCTCATTGAGCAGAACGTTTGCAGCAGTCTCGAAGTGCTTTACCTCCAGGTACTTCCTTAGTCCGTCTAATGTTTCTTGTTGATCGAGATCAGTGAAAGCTGGCAAGTCTGATGGGAGACAGTTCCTAGCGGACAACAGCCTGATTAGTTCCTTTGCCCTCTCTTTCAGCTTGTGCAAGCTGTCTTTCTTCTTCCCCGAAGAGGGATTGGTCCATCTCAAATTCCTTGAAAATCCAGCGTTGTAAGCCTCTTCGGCAATTTGCTTGGACCAGATTCTACCATCAGTGTCAAGGTCGTCTCTGAGAGCCAGTGATAACCGACGAACATACATCTCTACGCATGTTCTCTCATTGAAATGTGGCCCAGGATTTGTCTCAACGTCTCGAGACAACCATAAGGCCAACATCGACGCCATCTTAAATGCATACTTGAGTCTACCTCTGCTGAGGGAGATGAAGCAGGATTCAGACTTCAGTATATCAAACACATCTCTCAGTTCATGCAGCAGGAGAACACAGAAGATGAGTTTCCACATACTGGCTCTCATCTTCCAGAAGCTCTTGATCAAGGAGTCTAGTTTCAGTTTTGCCTCCTCGCTTAGAGACTGCAACTTGTCCCCAGCTAAGTTAGTGATTTGATGTAGAAATATCTTCACTTCTCTACATGTGTCTTTCACTGACGCCTTTTTGTCAGAGAGTCTTTCCTTCTGTTCCAGGATCTCCTCACTCATCTTCTGGACAAATTCAGCTGTCTGTCTTATTTGTGGGTCAGAGTGTGAGTCAGTATCCTTATGGAGCTCCTGTGTCTCATCCTTGATGTGCTCTGCTGCTCTTTCGAGTTCTTTTTCCCTCTGTATTATCCTCTTACAAAGCCGCTGAAAAGAAGCGAAAACAGATTAAACAGAATAATCAGTCAAATTGCTTCAAGTTTTCTTTCACTTTAGTTTCCAAAACATTCCCCTTTTCCAACAAACGTTTCTTTGCTGACTTCATACTATGAGTGGACATCCCAGTCAGATATATTGATATTTATTGATTATTTTGTAAGGCTCGCTGCCCTTCGTAAACGCTGGGAATATCTAATCATGGAAAAGCCTGCCTTAAATACGCAGTGTTTCTCAATCTAATAGCTCAATGTCATGATGATACAACTGGCTTGGTGCTGGGTATGATACTGATCAGGTGACAAGTCGACCAAAAAGGAACTAGGAACGCTATTCTTATCATATGTATCAATTTTGTATGAAATAGTTTGAAGATTTTGATATATATTTACATATTTGTTGCATGGGGTTGCAAAGCCTTGGTATCTATAAATTATTGCACGAAAATATCCTCACAATTAGGTGGTTCTGCTTCTGAAAGCTGTAACTACCATCATCAATCATGAAATATCATATTTCTTCCTCTGTAAACTTCCATCTGGTCATTAGCAGAACACAGTTATTTCATGGGCACATTAATATATACTCACTCGCAAAAGAAACGCAAGTTTCTTACACAAAGGATGAATTAACCTCAGACCCCTAAAATTATAACAACGTTGGTAAATAATGATGGTTGATGGTGTTGTTAACATTTTCTGTTGCGTTTTAACAATCCAGTGTGGGAACAGAAAAAAAACAACCGAATCGCCAGAACGCACCGCTTCAATGGCGATGTGGGCATCATGCACATTTTCCTCATGCAATCAAACATGCACGAGTTGCCACCATCTTCGGTGGGTATAAAACTGAGCAAAAATCTTTGGCCAGTCACTCTTTGTTCAATAATGCCACGTTTAAATCAACTTGGAGGAACCAGGGTATCGGACGGCTGGAAGCTGGAGAGTCTGTCCAAGATGTTGCCCGTCACTTTAATGTCAACATAACCACGATCTACCGTCTCCAGCATCGACACAACACAACGCAGACTACAGATGACCTTCCCCGAAGCGGCCGACCTAGGGTTACCACCCCTCGACAAGATCGGCACATTAAACGTCAACACCAACGAGATCCTTTCCGGACAGCAAGCCAGACTGCTCGAGACACCATAGGAACGCATAATCGAAGCATCAGCCGTGACACTGTCATCCGACGTATGCGCTCCAGCAACCTCCGATGTCGCCAACCAGCACGTCGTCCTGTCCTCCAACCACGGCATCGACAAGCACGACTTCAGTGGGCACAGGGTCATCAAAACTGGCGTCAACGTGAATGGAGACGTGTCATATTCTCTGATGAGAGTCGGTTTTCTGTGTCACATACAGATGGACGCGTCAAGGAGATCGTTTTGCTGACAGAAATGTTTGGAAAGGGGATGCATTGGATGGACCTAGTGTCATGATTTGGGTCGGAATTGGACTTAATGCGAGACTTGGACCAATGTGCTTCCAGAATGTGGGTCAAGGTCGAGGACATGGGGTCACAACTCAGCTTTACATTGACCGAGTCATCAGACCCCATGTTGTTCCAGAGTTATCATGGACTTTCTTCAACAACACAACATCCGTGTCCTACCGTGACCAGCTCTCAGCCCTGACCTGAACCCCATCGAGCACTTGTGGGATGAGGTTCAAAGGCGCCTGAATGAAGTGTGACCAGTGCCTACAACTGCTGATGAACTTCGTACAGCTGTTCTGGATGTGGGCAGGAGGATCCCCAGGGCCTTTACGAATCGTCTGATCCACTCCATGTACAGGAGATATGTTGCAGTGATCAATGCTAATGGTGGCCACACGAGGTATTGAATGACATCATGGCAATTGACTAGAATCTGCCCAACTCTTTTGCTGTCACAAAATGTAATGACGTCATCTGTGATTGCTGCCAATGAACTGTTCTTGCTCAAATATCTGTATATCTGACGCTGTTGGTATTTGTATTCTATACTGTTCAAAAATAAGTACAATATACTTTATACTAGACTTGCGTTTCTTACATAGATAGTTACAGAGTAGGTTCGGCGATCTTTCAATAATCTGTAAGTCTGCCAATGAGAACCGAGACAGTGAAGCATATCAGACAACGTAAGTATTCAGGTTCATGTGGATATTGGGCGCAGGAATTTTAATGGCATGGGCCTTCTTACTTTTCACCATTGGTTTATAAGGGACTTGACTGATTGTTTACAGAGTCGTAGGATAGCAGAACTAACGCAAGCAAAAGAGTTTAGTGTATATAATGTCGGGCACCGTTCGACCGTCAAGGACAGATAAAACATTGAGGTGGGAATATAGGATTCTGACATGAAAGCACACACTCTGATACTGGCAACCCCAACTCTGTGTGTGGTCCAGTTGTGGTATGACCAGGGTAAAGCAGACCGAGTCATGGCTGATGGCTGAAAGGTGATTTGTCCATAAGCATGGCTAAATGTTTGAGATGTGTACGATATAAACGGGATTAGTACTGATTGCCGTGTAATGGTGACATGGTCTGCCGAAACCATTGCAGACTGTTTCAGTGGTGTCATAATACACAACTCTGTACACTTAAAAGAACCCACGAATGGTAAATGACCAGATGGTGGGCACATGAATACAGCAACGTGCAGTAAACATAGCTGTGACTACGTGTCCCAGTCCACCCACCTGTGAATGTGTACCTCATAAGGATGGGAAAGCCACATTAACTCGGTGCGTCTAGTGGCTACCAGAGTTGTATGATCCCCCGGGAGTAATAAAATAATAGTAATATGTGTACAATTACTGAGGTACATTCAATATGCTTCTATGCTGACTGATGGCAGATGGCACATTATCTTACCTTCTTGTAAAATACTTTAATTTCATTGGTCAATGACGCTTTAACAAGTTTCCGTGTCACCCCTCCCAGGAGGGTGACAACTGGAAAAAATATTACCCGCTGTCACGGTAACCGCCAAGCTCTCTACCGAGAAGCTGAAGCGCTAACAATCGTATGACGTCATAATATGACGCATGCCGTGCCCGGAGTTCGAAAACCGTTCGATCAGCTGTTTTTGTGTTCACTTTGTACAGATTTATTTTACCGACTTTCACTGCTTGATTTAAGCTATTTTATAGTGAGTGGTTGAGTGGTTTGCACACTCAGCTTAAACATAATTAACAATTTTTATAGCAGTTTTAAGCTTGTCAGAATTTGTTTCACTGTTTTTAAAACTCCAGTGGAGAGGCAGACCCCATTTATGTCATATAGTCGGTCGCGATCTTTAACATAAAATAAAATGATATTTTGTACATTTAACATGGCGGTAAGATAAATACGTTGTATGCTTCTCCCTCGGGTAATACGGTCTGATGTACGCCTTTTTGTAGCAGTGTCATCCCTCGCCTACCGGCTCCGGTGACACTTCTACAAAAAGGCGTACATCAGACCGTATTTCCCTCGTTCTGTCACTAAAGCATACATCTCACAATAGTCTGGCTGTCTCCTTGAAACACACGGCACCGACAATCTCACTCGCACCATGTTACAACAGATTAGCTCCCATCCTAAAACATATATTTCTAGTCCTAACTCGTTTGATAAAAACGTAATCTCCCAGTTGTCTGTTTATGTGATACAGTTATGGCAAATGATGAATATATCCCCTTTTTCATCCCCGTGATACTGCTGCTGCCTGGGACTGAACTATATATTCATCTTGTCGTATGTGAATAAAGTACACCATTAAAGTAGAATAGAATTCTGGAACTGTATTTCTTCTGACTTCTGTTGACATATCGTGTAGCACATAAGTGCATGAATAAGGCCCAGAATAATGTGTACGTTTCATGTAATGTGTTTCATGTTTAGGGTTAAATGGTGTTACGTATTCAACATATGCTTTGGCTTTGGTCGAGCAAAGATCAAGTCACTTCAGGACTGACCCATTCCTGAAAAACATCTTCTGCTATCATTTCAGTCAGATAACCACGATAACTGATGCGTGAAATATACTGTTCAAAAACAGTTCTTTTACACCGGTGTTAGAGGGAACATAAAAACAACAATATTTATGCATATATTGATTTATTGCAGTACATCGAAAGGTAAGATATTCATGCTTACAAATAAATCACAAGATTGATAGTTTTTCAAAATGTCCGCGGTTCATAAGTCTCAGAGGAGTCGTGCCGGGAAGGCTCAAATTTATTTTTCAGATGTCCCGGGAAGGCTAAAATGTATATTTCGGATTTCCCAGGAGAGCTAATTTCCAAGGGAGTAGGAGAGTACCGCCAAAGCGGAAGATACGGTGCCGGGAAGCATAATCCATGTCGGGGTGTAGATAGATTTCTTTGTGTCTATGTATGACACTGTGAAATCATGTGTTTAACACAATGGTGAGCTATCTGGCTTTACAGGAAAATATCGACGCGTGATTGCTGCTTAACTATATTAACCTTTTTTTCTACTGTTTGCCGACATATGATGCTAATTATTGCACAGACTGGGGCTTTAACGATAATGTAGACAAAAGTAGAATTATGGTTTTTCGTAAAGGAGCGAAGAATCGACCGAAAAAAAATATCTTGCTTCGACCGAAGGAAATATAGCGCTTTCTTACACAGGCTCCTTTACACAAGCTTGAAGAACTCTAGCAGGCAAAGGTCTTAAAGCTATGAATGCTTTACTTAAAAATGTCAGTTGTTACAACTTTTCATTGAAAACCTTGTGTGAACTATTCGACACTTTTGTTACCTTTACTATGATGTATGGCTGTGAAGTGTGGGGTATTGTGAAACGTTCTGAATTCGAAAGAATTTACGTAAAATTTTGCAGGCATATTTTGCAGATCAATGTTAAAATGATGTTAATAATGGTTATAAATCATGGTTACGTAGTGTATTAATGGTTTTGTATAACTTGGCTTTGGGCATGTCTGGGAATTTCCAGTTCTAAGCGTTGACAATTTTGGTCGTAAACTCGAA